AGGAGGCGGAGGTTGCAGTGAGCCAAGATAGAGCCATTGCACTCCAGCCTGGGTGACAAGAGCGAAACTCCATCTCAAAATAATAATAACAACAACAATAATAATACATAGTAATAATAATAAAGCAGATATCCAGTTACCAGAGCCCAGGTGAAGAAACAGAACATTGCTAGTGCCATGGAAATGCTTGGTGTGCATCTCCTCATTCACATCCTTTTACTTCTCTCTATCCAAAATATAACCATTATTCTAACTTTTGTGATACTTCCTTTCCCTCTCCTTATAGTATTGCCATTTATCATTGAATCTGCAAACAATATGTTTGGTTTTGGTCTGTTTTAAAACTTTAAATTGAATCTTTTATATATATACACACACACACACACACACATATATATATATTATGTGCCTTTGCTTATTCATTCATATTGATATGTGTAGCTTTAGTTTATTAATATTCGCTGTTGTCAGTTATTCCATTGTATAAACACTTGACAATCTTGTTGTCTATTTTTTGATGACAGGCATTTGTGTTGTTTCCAATTTTTGCTATTGTACACAATGCTACGTGAAGAATCATGAATTCTCATACTGTTGCAAGGTAGAGTTACCTAAGTATATGTACCTAGTAGTAGACTTGCTAAATCAGCCAATGTGCTTGCTCTAGGTTGTACTAAACTATTTTTCAAATGCTTGAATCACATTGTATTTCCACCAGGAGTATGTGGAAGTTCCCATTACTGCATCTTTCCAAAATCTGAAGCTGTCAGTTTGAATTTTTACGTTTTATTACTTGGGCGAATGTGGTAATGGTATCTTGTTGCAGCTTTAATCGGCTTTCCCTTGGTTACTGTTGAGATTGGGCATCTTTGCTTACGTTTGCAGACCATTCAGGTTTCCTTTTCTTAAGTGCTTATTCAAGTCTTTTGCCCATTTTTCTAGTGGGCTTGGTGTTTCATAAGCGTTATTTTCCAAGTCTCCATTCTAGTTTTTTGTGGATCATATGTTGCAAATATTTTCTCCCAGTAGGTAGTTTCTATTTTTTTAGCTTTTATTTTTATTTTTATATTTTGAGACAGGATCTTGCTCTGTCACCCAGGCTAGAGTGCAGTGGCACCATCTCGACTTACTGCAAGCTCCACCTCCCAGGTTCACACCATTCTCCTGCCTCAGCCTCCTAGTAGCTGGGACTATAGGTGTGCGCCACCATGCCTGGCTAATTTTTTGTATTTTTAGTAGAGACGGGGTTTCACTGTGTTAGCCAGGATGGTCTCAATCTCCTGACCTCGTGATCCGCCTGCCTTGGCCTCCCAAAGTGCTGGGATTCCAGGCGTGAGCCACTGTGCCCAGGCACCTGCTGGTATTTTCATACTGAGTCTGACAGGTCCTCTGTTTGGGGTCACTTGGTGGTTTTGGAGGTGGGGACTGCTGGACTTTCCACTTTTTCTCTCTTTTCATGTAAGCAGATCAGGTTGGAAGAAAGAGGCCTGGTTAATGCATATTTCTTGCTTCACAGGAAAGCTTGTGCCCATAGGCCTTTGGTTTGTTTGTTCAGTGTTGAGCTCTCTCTGTTGACTTTGATCAGCAGTCAAAAAGCTGATTCTCAGGTTGCAGTTCCAGCCCCCTACCCCTTATTTTGTCTGGGATAAGAAATAGGATCTAAGAAAATGGAAGTCTGAGTAGCTGCAAGGTCCTTTTCCAGCCTCCTCTCAAACAGTTCAGCAGATGCCCTTGCCTGTCCCTACCACCAGTTCTCATCTTTAAGGAATGGATATTTAGGAAGTAGTAGGATCCTTTAGGACTGTCTTACCCCTGTGAATAAGTTACAGCCTGCTTAAAGTTTAAGGGGAAGAAACCTCTAGATTGTGTCATCCTCCCTTTAAGTTTCATGTATGTTCTGGTACTTTATGTTCCAGAGGAGTATATTCCCAAAGGGTAGTTTACATACTGTATTAGTCTGTCCTCACATTGCTATAAAGAAACACCTGAGACTAGGTAATTTATTCGTTTGTTTATTTATTTATTTATTTATTTGAGATGTAGTTTCGCTTTTGTCACCCAGGCTAGAGAGCGATGGCGCAATTTTGGCTCGCTGCAACCTCTACCTCCTGGGTTCAAGTGATTCTCCTGCCTCAGCCTTCTCAGTAGCTGGGATTACAGGTGCACACCATCACACCCGGCTAATTTTTTTTTTTTTGTATTTTTTTTAGTAGAGATGGAGTTTCGCTATGTTGGCCAGGTTGGTCTTGAACTCCTGACCTCAGGTAATCTACCCACCTCAGCCTCCCAAAGTGCTGGGATTACAGCCATGAGCCACCACGCCCAGCTGAGACTGGGTAATTTATATGAAAAGTTTAATTGGCTTATGGTTCTACAGGCTGTATAGGAAGCATTAGTGCCAGTATCTGCTTCTAGGGAAGCCTCAGGAGGCTTATTATAATCATAGTGGAGGGCAAAGGGGAGCAGGCACATCAAACGATACAATCAGGAGCAAGAGAGAGTGGCAGGGGGAGGTGCTACACACTTTTAAGTGTGTAGTCCTCTTCTCACAGGTCTACTAGGCAGTGCCCCAGTGGGGATTCTACATGGGGGCTCCAGTGCCACATTTCTCCTCTGCATTGCCCTAGGATCGGTTCTCTGTGTGGCCTCTGCCCCTGCAGCAGGCTTCTACCTGGACACCTAGGCTTTTCTATACATCCTCTGAAATCTAGATAGAGGTTCCCAAGCCTTAACGGTTGAACTGTGTATACCCACAGGCTTTAATACCATATCAAAGCTGCCAAGGCTTACGGTTTGCACCCTCTGAAGCAGCAGCCTGAGCTGTAACCTGGCCCCTTTCAGCCATGGGTGGATCTGGAGTGGCTGGGATGCAGGGAGCAGTGTCCCAAGGCTGTGCTGGGCCCTGGGCCCTGGGTCTGGCCCAGGAAACCATTCAGTCATCCTAGGCCTCTGGTGGGAGGGGCTGCTGTGAAGTTCTCTGAAATGCCTTTGAGGTCTTTTCCCCATTGTCTTGGCTTATTAGTACTTGGGTCCTCTTTACTCATGTAAATTTCTGTAGCCTGCCTGAAATTCCTTCTCTGAAAATGGGCTTTTCTTTTCTACCACATGGCCAGGCTGCAAATTTTCCACTTATTCCCTTTTAAATATCAGTTCCAGTTTTAAGTCATTTCTTTGTTCTCACATCTGAGCATAGATTGTTAGCAGCCAACCCACCTCTTGTGTGCTTTGCTGCTTAGAAATTTCGTCTACCGGATACCCTAAATCACCACTTTCAAGTTCAAAGTTCCACAGATCCCTAGGGCAGGGGCACAGTGCAGCCAAGTTCTTTGCTAAGACACAGCAAAAGTGACCTTTCCTCCAATTCCCAGTAAGTTCCTCATTTCCATCTGAGACCTTAACCAAGACTTCACTGTCCCTATCACTATCGGCATTTTGGTCACAACCATTTAACCAGTTTCTAAGATGTTCCAAACTCTCCCTTATCTTCCTGTCTTCTTCTGGGTCTTCCAAACCCTTCCAACCTTTGTCTGTTACCCAGTTATTCCAAAGTCACCTCCACATTTTCAGGTATCTTTATAGAAATTCTCCACTTCCCAGTACCAATTTTCTGTATTGGTCAATTCTCACATTGTTATGAAGAAATACCTCAGACTGGGTAATTTATAAGAAAAAAGGCTTAACTGGCTCACAGTTCCTGTACAAGAAGCATAGTGCCAGCATCTGCTTCTGGGGAGGCCTCAGGAGGCTTACAATCATGGCAGTAGGTGAGGGGAAGCAGGCACATCAAATGGCAAAAGCAAGAGCAAGAGTGAGGAGGGAGGTGCTACACTCTTGTAAATAACCAGATCTCACAAGAACTCATTCATGATAGAGAGGACAGTACCAAGGGGGATGGTGCTGAACCTTTCATAAGAAACCACTCCCATGATCCAGTCACCTCCCATAAGGCCCCGCCTCCAACACCGGGGATTACATTTCAATATGAAATGTGGGTGGGGACACACATGCAAACTATACCACATAGATTGTTATTTACTTCCTATCATATTTTATTTACTTCCTGTATCATATTTCTTTCTTTTTTTTTCCTTTTTTTTTTTTGAGACAGAGTCTCTGTCACCCAGGCTGGAGTGCGGTGGTACTACCTCAGCTCACTGCAACCTCCACCTCCTGGGTTCAGGCAACCCTCCCATCTCAGCCTCCCAAGTAGCTAAGACTACAGGCACCTGCCACCATACCCAGCTAATTTTTGTATTTTTAGTAGACATGGGATTCCACCATTTTAGCCAGGCTGGTCTTGAACTCCTGACCTCAAGTGATCCGCCTGCCTTGGCCTCTCAAAGTGCTGAGATTACGGCCATGAGCCACCACGCCCAGCCTTGACCATATTTCTTAATCCTCATTTTGTATCTGTGACCCTCAGACCCAGTGAGACAAGTAACTAGTTAAGATGGTGTTAAGAGCCAGGGTTTGAATCCAAGTTTGTCTGACTTTGGGTCAGCAATCTTTGCACTGTGTCACACTGTGACATTTTAGGAAGATTAATTTGGTGTAGGATTCCTAGGTGGCCTTGTAGGAGGAAAGAAACTGCTGCTAGGAATACCAGGTACAGTGTGCAGGGTCTCCTGATCTGCCTTTCCCAAGCCCAGCTCTTCTGCATCTGTATCCTTCGTTCCGTCTTCTTTATGTAGCACCTACTCCAGTGGCCAGTGCCTTCAGTGTGCATCCTTCCTGAAAGGGCTCACTCTTTTCTCTGCTTACCCAGTATATCTGCCATCCCCTGCTTTCAGTTCCCCTGTTATCTTTGGACCAGTTCAGTGTTCTTTCTCTCTCTTCCTATTTCTCTACCTAATTTTGGGTGCATCTTTGAAAGCTCTCAAATGTGCTCAACAGTTATTTTAGTTTGATAGCTAGTTTAATTCTCTCATTCCCACCTTATGCAGTTTCCAGTCCCCCAGCACAGAAACCAGTGTGCATTTGAATTTTTTTTTTTTTTTCAGACTGGGAGACAAGACTTGAAACCAAAGCGCCAACTCTGAAGCCCAATATTACTGAAGATTTATGCCATGGGGTACTAATGGAAAGGGAAGGTGTCTGGCATTCTACTGTAGGGGAAACCTGGGAACCTAATAATTGGTTAGAGGGACAACAGGATAGTCATCTGAGCCAAGTGGCAGTTACCCCTAAGAAAACCTTCACCGAGAGGAGAGTGTGTGGAGGTAATGAATTTGAAAGATGTTCCAGTCAGGATTCAATCCTTGATACACAACAAAGCATTCCTATGGTAAAAAGGCCCCATAACTGTCATTCACATGGAGAAGATGCCACGCAAAATTCTGAGTTAGTTAAAACTCAAAGAATGTTGGTAGGAAAGAAGATCTATGAATGTAATCAGTGCAGCAAAACCTTCAGCCAGAGCGCATCCCTTCTTAAGCACCAGAGGATTCATACTGGGGAGAAACCCTTTAAGTGTAATGTATGTGGGAAACACTTCATTGAACGCTCCTCCCTTAATGTCCATCAAAGAATTCATACTGGAGAGAAACCCTATAAATGTAATGAATGTGGGAAAGCCTTTAGTCAGAGCATGAATCTTACTGTCCATCAGCGAACTCACACTGGAGAGAAACCGTATCAGTGTAAAGAGTGTGGCAAAGCCTTCCATAAGAATTCATCTCTTATTCAACACGAAAGGATTCATACTGGAGAGAAACCCTACAGATGTAGTGAATGTGGGAAAGCTTTTACCCAAAGCATGAATTTGACAGTCCATCAGAGAACTCATACAGGAGAAAAACCCTATGAATGTAATGAATGTGGAAAAGCCTTCAGTCAAAGCATGCATCTTATTGTCCATCAGAGAAGCCATACTGGAGAAAAACCCTATGAGTGTAGTCAGTGTGGAAAAGCCTTTAGTAAGAGCTCAACTCTTACCCTACATCAGCGAAATCACACTGGAGAAAAACCCTACAAATGTAACAAATGCGGGAAATCCTTTAGCCAAAGTACGTATCTTATAGAACATCAGAGGCTTCATTCTGGAGTAAAACCTTTTGAATGTAATCAGTGTGGAAAAGCTTTCAGTAAGAATTCATCTCTAACTCAACATCGGAGAATTCACACTGGAGAGAAACCTTATGAGTGTGTGGTATGTGGAAAACATTTCACTGGACGATCATCCCTTACCGTGCATCAGGTTATTCACACTGGAGAGAAACCTTATGAGTGCAATGAATGTGGAAAGGCATTCAGCCAGAGTGCTTACCTTATTGAACATCAAAGAATTCATACTGGTGAGAAACCCTATGAATGTGATCAGTGTGGAAAAGCCTTCATTAAGAATTCATCCCTTACAGTGCATCAGAGAACTCATACAGGAGAGAAACCCTATCAGTGTAATGAATGCGGAAAAGCCTTCAGCCGGAGTACAAACCTTACTCGACATCAGAGAACTCATACGTGAGGAATGTTTCCACTGGCCCCTACATCATGATTAACTCTTCAGTAATAATCATATAAGACATATAATGTAGAAACCTAATAAATGTGATGATTGTGGGAATTTTCCAGTTGAAGTATAATATATCAGATAATACCACTGCAGAGAATTCATCTAAAAGTAGAGAAATCTTGATTCAGAAGGTATAACTTACTTTATATCAAAAGGTTTAAGTAGCTAATATAAACAATGAAGACTCATGCTGAAGATAAGTTCTGTTATATCATACTGCACATTCTCCTTTGGCCATCAGAGACTTTACACTGGAGAGAAAAATGTGAGTGTGTTTAACTGGACAGCCCAGAGACCTGGTATGTAGTCCTAATTTGCCACTGCCTTGGACAAGTCACCTACTTCCACCAGGTTATGGTTCTTTATTTGGTAAATGAATGATTTTGGAGTTAGAAATGTTGTAGGTTCTCTGTTAGCTCTAAAATGTTACAACCCTATAAATATAATGAATGCTGGGAAATCTTTGTTCTTTTACAATCTTATGCTGTCTGTATGCTGTCTAGATGCTCTTGTTCCACAGTCTGGTTTCCTTGGATGTTTTTGATCAAAATTATTTAGCTTTACCAATTCCTAGTACCCTTCCATGCCCCTAATCTTCCCCTGCATTGTTACTTTGTCCCCTAACTACAGTCTGGTTTCCATAAATTAATGGAATAAGTATGCAAATCTTAATGCAATAGCATGCTGTTTTGAGTTCTCAATTAATAGTTCTTAAACTATCATTAAATGACCATTTAGAAAATAACATAGTCCTATAAGTACAAAGGAATCACATACAAATCTTTGTGTCATATTCTGGCTATCAAAGTGGAAAAGAAAAGACAGAGGGGCTGAACACTAACAGACATAGCCATCTGACCTATTAACAAAATGTTGAGGCTGGACAAGGTGGCTCATGCCTGTAATCCTAGCACTTTTGGGAGGCTGAGGCAGGATGATTGTTTGATTTCAGGAGCTCAAGACCAGCCTGGGCAACATAGTGAGACATTGTCTCTGCACTCCAGCCTAGGCAACAGAATAAGAACTTTGTCTCAAAACAAAAATAACGTTGCAACTCAAAAACATACTCAAAACAATATAGGAAGATTTTATAGATCTATAGTTATTATGGTAGTTAAGATAGCTTTGTTTATTTCACACATCTACCAAGTCCTAAATATGTGTTAGACATGATTAGAAAATCAAAATGAGTAAGATATATTCTTTGGTTTATAAGGGTTAAACTAAAAAAGTGTCAGTATGATAGGAGAGGAGAGGAGAGGAAGAATACAAGCAATCACAAAGCAGAATTTAGGAAATTTGGTAACTGACTAAATGTGCTGCTTGGATGAGAAGAGTCTAGGATGACTTGAAGTTCTTTCTTTGGTAGATAAGGTTGCCATAATTAAAAACACCTATAGTTAGTTGCCCAATTTTGTGGGGCAATGATGAGTTCACTTTGGGTACATTTCCATGAGTCTGTGGGACATCCGAGGGAAGAGTCCTGATAGCCAGCAGAAAGTGATAGACGAGACACTTGCAGGACTGTCATTGATGGGGTAGGTGGTAAAAAGAAGAAGCAGTAGACGCTAAGTGGAAAAAGCAGCAAAAAGAAAAACAGAAAAATCAGAAGTTGGTGCCACAAAGGTAAAAAGATAGTTTTAACACAGGGATAGGAATAGTTAATACTGTAAAATGCTACGGAGGGCAAAGTAAGATAAAAATAGAACTATGTCGGCCAGTTGCAGTGGCTCACGCCTGTAATCCCAGCACTTTGAGAGGCCAAGGCAGGCGGATCACGAGGCCAGGAGATCAAGACCATCCTGGCTAACATGCTGAAACCCTGTCTCTACTAAAAATGCAAAAAAAATTAGCTGGGCATGGTGGCATACACCTGTCATTCCAGCTACTTGGGAGGCTGAGGCAGAAGAATGGTGTGAACCGAGGAGGTGGAGCTTGCAGTGAACTGAGATCGCGCCATTACACTCCAGCCTGGGCAACAGAGCAAGACTCCGTCTCAAAAAAAAAAAAAAAAAAAAAGTAGAACTATGTCCTTTTGTTTGGGCTATCAATTTAAGACAGATGGCTTAAAACCTGTTTGAGTTGGTTGAAGAGTGGTTAAGTGTGGGAGAGACTCAGAAAGACAACTAGAGGGAGGCTGGGGCTTGGAGCATATCAGAAGAGCTGTGGGCTGCAAACAATGGAAAGCCCAGTCCATGATGGTGTAAGAAAGTAGAGATTTATTTTTCTCACATAACAAATCTGGAGGTGGCTGTCACTTGTTCACAGATAAAACAATTCAGTGTCTTAAGTTTAATGGGGTTTCCATCATGGTTACATCATGATGGCCATAGCATCAAGTAAAGTGTCTGCATTCAAGGCAGGAGGGAGGAGGAGGGAAGCACCAGCAACATCAGTGCCTTTGATGAGGAAAGTTTTTCCCCGAGGCCACTCAGTAGACTCCTGCTTACAGCTCATTGACCACAGCTGTATTGCATGGCCACCTCCTAGCACAAGGCAGGCTGTGGAAAGAAGTATTTAACCTTTCCAGCCTCTGTAGAGGAGGCAGGCACAAAAAAAGGGGGGTTGAGAATGATGTTGATTTAGCCAGCCAACAATCTGCCAGGAAGTGTTTGTATGATTTAAGGTAGGATTGAGCATGTTCAAAATTGAAAAAAAAGATGTGGAAGAGTGAAGGTACAGAAAGGAGGGGACATGCAGCTCAAAGTGGGAAAATAAGGTCTGGAACACAGGTGGAGGCTGTAGGGATCTCTTTGAACAGGAGAAGGAAACTTTCCACTGGGAGAGACGGGCATCCACAAACGATGGGTACAGAAGATGTTTGTGGGTGGCAATGGAGGAAGTTCCTGTGAACTCTTAACTGTTTGAACCTTCAGCATCCAGTCTCTGGGCTATGTGACCTCTCAGAGTTAATATTTTGCCAATTTTGAGTCATTGCCTCTATCCTAGGCTTCAAAATCTTTCATTTTTCCCTTTCTCTCTTGTCCTGTGCTTGTCTTTTGAGCTTTATTTTGCTGCTGTCTTTATCATTTCCATCTATTTTCTACCCATTTCTTTTGTCTGCCTCCTTTCTTCCCCTCTAGTTCTATCTCTTGAGATCATGTGGGGAACAAGAAAAAAATAAATAAAATCCGGAGAGGAGGAGACCCTGTAGAAGAGAGAGATTATGAAAAATCTAAGTTCCCGAGGATACGGCTAGTCTGATGTTTTATTCCCCCTTCTTTCCTGTTCTAACTCCAATGGTTTGTATTTGAAGATAGGCAAGGAGACCCAGGATCTGCATGTTGAGTTGAGAACTGTGTGTGCGGAAGGAGGCGGGGGCAGAAGAGTGGAGAATCTCAGTGTCAATTATTTGTCCCATCCTCCTCCAGCCTCCAAACTTGGAATGAGGGGAAGGGTGCTGTTTATTTGTGAAACAGTAATAATCTGGACCGATTGGGTTTCTTTTGTGGAATGTTAGAATTAGGACAAAGACACTTGGGTGTTAGAAGATGAAAGCACTAGATAGGAGAGCTGATGCTGACATCTTGGGTCATGTGCAAATTTAATTGTAAGCAAAGGAATCCAACCAACTGGGAGGAGTTCTGGGAGTATAAGGGTCTGGGAGGGAGGACCCTTGTTACCATATCCTGTTAAGCCCAAGCCCTTCATTTCAGTGTCCGTTCTCAGGGAGAACTGAAGTTTCAGTAATATATGAGGATTTTTTGTAACTTAAAGTGCAGTACAGCCAGGCCTTGTGGCACCTGGGAACAACCAGCAGCCAAGCACATGTGCCTGCTCTCTCCCTCTGTCTTCATCCCCCACCCCTCGCCACTGCTACGACCACCACATGGGTTCTGTTACTGCTTTGTCCATCCCCTCACTGGTGGTTGGATTCCTTTGCTTACAACTAAATTTGCACATGACCCAAGATGTCAGCATCAACTTTCATATCTAGTGAACTTTCATCTTCTAACACCCAAGTGTCTTTGTCCTAATTCTAAAATTACATGAAAGAAACCCATTTGGTCCTGATCATCCTTTTAAGACAAGCCTCACAAGTCACCTTTTCTGGCTAAGTACCCATCCAGTCAGCTGGTGGGAGGAGGCCTTCCATGTGATCACTGGCCATGCAGTCGAGCCTGTGTGCGGCAAACTGACAGATATGACCCGTATGTCATGAGTGTTTACTGAGCACCCACTCAGTAGTTGCTAGTGATTTGGAGCTCAGAAGGAGCTCACGGTAGGGAAGTCTGAAATAAACCAGGAGTTCGGATGCACTAGGTAGCAAGAAACACGGCACCCTCTGGAACTATAGAGAATTGGGTGACCAAGGTATTTCCTCTCTGGCTGGATCATCATCCAGAAGACTCAAATAGGGCCATTCCCTCCACTTGAGCTCTGTGAAATGGGCCTCTGGGCGTTTAAAGAGGTTACCAGTCAGGGTTCTCTGACGAATAAAAGTGGAGCTGCAGAATATGGTGCCAGTACGCCTCTCCTACATACTGCATAGCTTCCAACTGCCTGACTCCTGAAAAATATCACAACAGATCTGGAGGAGAAAGGTCTCTGAAATATTTATGAATGCTGAGAACTTAATTGAGGTAGGTTATTTCTCTGTCTGTATACACATTGGCATTATCTGATGGTCTGTGGTCAAGAGACTCATAAGTGATTGGCCTGTGCTGCATGTTATTGTGACAAGGATGAGTAAGACCTTGTTCCTACTCATAGTGTAGTTCATTCAAGCAACTAACATTGAGCTCCTAGCATAAGTCGGCTTCTATGAATTCAGGGTAAATGACGCCTGATCTCTGCTCTCAAGTAGCTCCTAGCACATAGTGCCATAGAGTGAATTAGTTGGGTGAACAGAAGAGGGGAGGAAATGAGAAGGTGCAGGGAAGAATAGGAGTAATGGCAAGAGAGGCTAAGAGAGCATAGTGTATATTCAGGAAATTCTAAGAGGTGTATGATTTAAGCAGAGAGTAGAAGTCAAGAAGTGGGAAGAAATGAGGCTAAAGGAAGATCTTATTACATCACACTGCAAAGGTCCTAACAGGGCTTAGCAAACGGACCCCAGGAATTACTGGCTAGTAGCCTCTGTCCTGGGGAAGAGGAAACAGTCTGGTGATGCAGGTCTTGGTCAAATGTAAGTGTTCATTTGCATATCCATAGTTAATAGAGCAGAAGGGAAGGGGGTTCTCCAGACCACATTTTCACCTCCTTTCTCTGAGGAGACTGGTTCCTAATGAGAATCCTTGACAGAAGCAGGGCCTTCCTCAGTGAATGCTCAGAACAGTATAGTGTGTGAGTCCTGGCTAAAGCCAAAGGGTGTGTCAGGCATCGTATCACAGGTGTCACTGCTGCTCTTCGGCTTGAATAGCTTTTTTGTTTGTTTCAGTTGCCTGTGGAAGGGCACTCCTAGCAGACTACAGCATCACCAGGACAAACGGGTCAGATAAATGAAGGTTTTATTACTGT